AGAAGCAACTGCTCTGGCCCATCACACAGGCTGGGGTCTGTCTCAAAGGCTGGCAGCATCTTCCAGAGTCACCTGTAACAGGATTTCCAGTTCCTCACTCGAGTTTTCAACACCTGCAATGATTGAATCCTCATTTTCTGGGGATGCAGCACATGAAGGTCACACCTCAGTGTAACACGGACCCAGTGACACAGAATGTCTAGACTAAGGAAAATCGACAGCCTCCTCCATTTTAAATTTATCCCAGATGAAGTGAAACATCAAAGGAGCTCCTTTTAATGGGCTTTTTGGCATGTGGTCCTTTGTTCTTAACAAGTCAGCACCAGCTGCTGTGTCCATAATGCCAAGTCAGTAACAGCCCCAGCCAGATTCCTGGCTGGTGTAAATCAGTGTCACTCCTCTGCAGGCAGAGATTTCAGTTGGTTGACATCAGCTGAAGATTTGGCTCCTTGTGCTTAGCAGGTGCAAGATAAGTAAAATCTCCTGTGCCATATTTCATATTTCTCCTGTCTTCACCACCAGTTCTGCTGCACACATTTGCAGGGTGGAGAGTTAATTAGCATCAGCTGGAGCTGCTCAAATTTCTATACAATAAATCCCATATTGTCAGGAACTGCTTTCCTCTAATTATATCTTGTTCATGTGTATATATATATGTGTGTATATATATATTTATATTTACACACATACAAATCTTGTACTCTGGCTCATTGCATGGTGACTTTCCCATAAACAGAAGATGAGGTGAGAACAACAGGCCACATTCCTTCATCATAGCACCTGAAATACTATTTAATTAATGAAAGTAAATATTACTTATAGCCTTCAGATTTCCTAATTAGCCTATTCTGTTACCTACCTAATAGGTACCTAATATATCACAGCTTGATATATTAGTTTAAAGGTGACCCACAAGATTTTCTTGATATATAAATGTCTCAAATACCTGGAGCTCTTCAGTGTGCATTTAAAACAAAAATATATTTTTGCTTTGCAGGTAGCAGCTTATCAAAGTCCCACAGCACCAGCTGTTCTGACTTTACCCCAGTACGAGTAGGAATATACACACATGCATCAAAAAATTAAAATAGATACAAATTGAAGTCTAGTTATTTACCCCTTTAAAACACGCTGCTGACTTCAGCACTTGTTAATGAGTAAGTTCAAGAAGGAAACAGAAATCTGAAATCATCTGGGGCCATTCAACAAACCCAAAGCCCAGATCCCATCTCAGTTTTCCCCACTCGCTGCCTTGGGTTGTTTTAATTAAGCAAATTATGCTTTCAAGTCACCTGCCACGCTCTTTGGGAAAAGGTACAAGCAGCTGCATTACCGAGCCTCTGATGTGCCTTGTTCACTGCTGTCACCACATTCCTCCTCTCCCGAGCATTTCATCCCTCAATTCCCAAAGAGGAACGTTGGGAGTGCTGCCCTGGACACCCCTGAGGCAGGACAGCTCCCAGGCACTGCTGAGCAGTTTCATCACAGCCACCCCATCAAGTCACATCCCCTCCAGCACGGAACCACGGAACGCTTCTGGCTGGAACCGACCTTCCCTGACCTTCTGTGCTGGGCTCCAGCCATTCCAGCACTGCCACTGCCCCGTGTCCCCAGGTGCCACTCACATGGCTTTTGAATCCCTACAGGGATGGGGACTCCAAACTGCCCTGGGCACCTGTGCCAGGCCTGGAAAAACCTTTCCATGAAGGAATTTTCCCCAATATCCAGTGAAGCTGTGACCAAAGGCAGGGTGATGCACATCGATCACCCGTGGCAGGGACCTCGTGGAGCTCGGCCTGGGCTGGCCCTTGGCCATATCTCTGAGGTGGGTGGCTCATGTGGCCCCCAGTGGGACCCTTCACACGTTCCTGCAGCTGCCCAAGGGATGGAAACGTTGGCCACTCACTAAAAATAAACACAGTTCTGTCCTACGGCTCTGTCCTCCCACGGTGCAAGTCTGACTTCATGTATAACATGGATTTTCCAGCACTCACAATCCCATTTCTTGCCAGGTAATGGAAGGAAAGGCTCAAAACAGTGGAGCCAGTAGAAGATAGAGTCCACAGTGGGGAAATATCATATTCCATCCTTGGGATGCTCTAGCATGAAACATGGCTTTGAACTCTGAGTCTGAGATTTGGATTTCCAAGTGTAATTCCCGTCCACGAGCAGAGCACAAGATTTACATTTCATTAATAATCCTAAAGCATCCTTTTCATATGTGGCACATGGTGGAAATATATAACTCTGGAGATTACCTGGCCCAGCCTCCTGCTGAAAGAAGGGCTTTAGATTAAGTTATCCAGGTCCATGTAAAGCCAAGTCTTGAACAGTTGGATTTGGACATGAAATAATATGAGTAATACAGTAAGTAGAGTCATCATTACTGCAGTGAAGTCACACAAAAGATTAGGAAAAAGACACTCAACTGGGCCTAGAGGAAACAGCAAACCCAGCCCCAGCACCTGTAAAGCAGAGAAGTATTTGAGAGCTCCTTCCAACTCAGATCCTAATAAAGCAACCTATACATCCTGGAAACTGCATTTACAGATTTCATACAGAGAAGTGTAGCCTTGAAAGTAATTTTTCTTTTTTTTTTTTTTCAGCATAGTGATGTTATTACCACTTGTATTTCTGCTGGCAGGAAGCTCTTGCCTACAGCTGCAAACCAATATAAACTCCAACTTTCTGGGTCATCAGAAATGTAATGGACAAAGTGCTCTCTGCAGTTACCTCATCCATAAGATAACTGAGTTAAAGCACGAACACTGTAGCAAAACTTGTTCACTGTCCCTTCTTTGCTGGTCCTCCTTTCTTTTCAAACACTTCATTTCACAAACATTTCATTGCATAAACATGGAGCAGAGCTAAGCTCAACAGGAACGGGTTTGAATTAGTAAACAGCAGAGGAAAAATTATCCAAAATAACTGGGAATCTAGAATGGGATAAAAGTTCTTCTCCAAAAGGGTTGTCCAGTCCTAAAGGGATTTAAAAGCCCTTTGGATGTGGCACTTAGGGACATGGGTCAGTCTTTTTGGCAGTGCTGGCGGCTGGTTTGACTGGATGGTCTTAAAGGTCTTTTCAAACATAAGTGAGTCCATGATTGATAATCTCATACCAATACTTCTCCTCCTCCAGAAGTAAAAAGGACTCAGTTTTTAATTTCTCTCAGGTTAAAATCACAGAATTCTCCCTCATTTTGAGGACCAGTGTGGATGTCCCACGCATTTTACCAGGTTTCTCATGGTTTCTCCCATTTAATGGTTGATGGCTGTGCAGGAGTTCATTACTTGGATGATCCTGCTGAGAAAGGCTGTTGTTTGGGAGCATTATTCTGGTTGTTTATACAAATTTCACACAGGAAAGTTGTAATAAGCTGATAAACACCTCCTTACACGTTACAAAGGGTCTGAGCAAGAGAAATGTATATCTTTGCATTCTACATTATGGCCCACACAAAAGGTGGAAGCAGTTGAAAGGTAACACTTCCCATGTTTATTTACACCTATAGTCTTGTGTACACAAATGGTGGAAGTCCTTTATCACAAACCAGTATTTCTCAGCTCCTTACTTCACCGATTTCCTCCTTTCAGTAAAACTATGGAACCATGAGCAGCCTCCCAATTCACTTTCTAATTATTTCTAGTAAAAGTGCTTCTTCCATGCCACCATGACATCACTAAGCCCAGGGAAAGCTCAGTTTTAAATTGTTTTATCACAGAGAAACCTTAGGTGGCGTTGAAAAAAGCCTTGAATACATAACACTTCCCATGGAGTGATATTCCCTGATATTTAAAATTAGGATGTACACAATGAAGTGTTTCATTTGCTGGTGCCATCCCTTTATATTTCCATCCCAAACCCCTTAGCACTGGTTGGCATTTTCCCTCTCCTGCTCCCCATTGTGCTTCTCCCCTCCAACACCACACAGCCTGGATTATGCTTAGGAAAGCTGAGTAATATTTTATCTCATTCTCTGCCCCTGCAGGAACATTCCCACTGATTTCAGGCATGGAAAAGGGAGAGCAGCAGACACTGGGAGGAGTTTGCACCTTGCCCAGCCCTCGAGGCAGAGTGAGGCTTCTCACCTTTCTGTTTCCTTCCACTTGCACACTGGGAGGATGAAGGTACAGAGGAGCTTTAGGAAGTGGCTCAAGTTCATGCACTGACCCTTAGATCATAAAGGCCACATAAGAACAGGGTAATTGCAATTAAACATGGCCCAAGGCTGCAGGATACAGAGGGGGTGAGTTTAATCTTTGTGCTTTTGGTAAAAAATAGACTCCACTCATTGACAATCTTCCCATCCACCTTCCCTTCCTGGAAAGGCAATAAACTCAGCTGTGCTTATCCAAGAGCTGGAAAATCCCAGTGCAGCAGGAGCTGCACCACTCTGGGCAGGGAGCAATCCCCAGGGCCCCTCTCTCTTCCCCAAGGAGCAATGCTGCAAAGAACATTTTATATTTGTAAAATGCTCGGAAAGGTTGGAAACAAATGTGTTTAAGGTTTGCAAATCTTTTACCTGGTTCCATTAAGTATAAAACCCTGGGCTTATTACTGTAGCCTTCTAAATAAAAGCTGAAAACAAGATCATTTTTAATTGCAAGGAGCACAAAGCCAAGCTCAGTGCACTCCATCTCCTTCTTAAATTCACACCTTGAAATTCAGCCCTTATTTAAAGATAAACCTAATTATTTTCAGGGGATAAGCACTTGCATGTTGCTGGGAGAATAATAAAAAAAAATACTGTTATAAATGGTTTAAAAAGAGGTTTAATGCAGAACACACAGGGGGATTTTTCTCTCTCAGCTGATGAGAAGCACACATCACTACCATGGTGAATATTCACGGAGCTGGAAACCTCTGGGTTGTGCTCTAGCTCCCTGAGCCTCTGCAGAAGCAAGGACTGCTGTTATCTGCTCTCACAGGATCACTGTGGTGGGGTTGCTCCAGCCTGAACCTCTGCTCCACCAGCCTGAGGTTTGTGGAAATGACTTACCTGCCTCACTGCTTGAATTAGGAATTTGGAGGGAAAACACAGTGTGGTGGCTGCCAGGCTGCTCATCCTCTTCCTCTGCTGCTGCCTTGTGAGGTCCTCTGGGAATATCCACAAATGCTGGAAGTCCCGAGGCAAAGGCACTTTGCAAAGGGTATTTACGACCCAAATGTCCTTCCTTTGTTTTCTCCTCCTTAATTACCTTAATTCCCGTGATGTCTGCTCTCAGGTAGGATCTGAGTGGAGCCCCGCGTGCTCCTGGGAGCTTCCTTGGAGCTCTCTCCTCCATGGGCTCTCCATTAGCTATGCCATCTACTCCATCTGCTGTTAATCCGGACAAACTGCACTTCAGGCTCAAGGACAACGTGGATCTGTACATTTTTTGGCATTTAACTGGAGGTTGGTCAATGCACACACTGAGCGACTTGTCCAAATAATAGATGGTGTTTGGACGCGGCTCAGACACCTGGAGCTGGACACAGGAGATGAACAAAGGTGGCATTTTCTCCCTCCCATCACTGCTTTGGAGACCCACGCCATCCTCCTTGATTCCAGGGTCAAAAAGCTGCTTTTGGGGTTCTTCACCCAATTCTGAGCAAGACTTGGAAGCCTTTAAAGGAGGGTGGTTTGTGCGGGCTGGGGGAGGCCAGCGCTCGAGGAGAGCGGGGACTTTGCTGGACGTGGGGGACACGGTGCTGGGCTCCTGGCCAGCCCCAGGGCCACGTGCCAGGTCTCCAGAGCCCACAGGAACACGCCTGGCTGTGACAGTGATGGAGGCAAAGCCTCTCTGCTGGCCTGGACACTGCTTGGGACTGGGAGAGTCCGACGGTGACATGGTGTCTTCTAAGGATGCCTGAATCTCTAAGCGGCTGGGAAGCACCAAAAATGTTCTGCTAACATTTTTGGTGGCTGAGCCCTGGTTAGGACACGATGGTTCTGTGTGACAAGCTCTGGGCTGGGGGATCAGGGCCTGCATAGGCAAAGAGGGCTTCTCCTCATCAATCTGTGCAATGATTACTGGTGAAATCAATGCCGTGTTTTGGGAAGGCAGAGATTCCTGCAAATGAAAACATTCCCAGTTATCACCACACTCCAATATCCTGTGTGCAACTGTTTCTCATCCACCATCTATCACAGCAGACAGTTTTGTTCAAGATCTCTTGTTACCTTTCTATTCATAATAACTTTTTTGTCATTTAAAAATGCACACTCTTGAAATCAGCTCTGAATTGTCTGGGAGGCTTCAATGAAAACTTTATCACTCTGGTGAAGGGAAAAAATATGAAAATTTAAAACCTGTATTCCGTAGTATTATTTTGAGTATTTAACTCATCACCATGGATGGGATTGGAGGCTGTTTAAAAATGGACATGGCAAAGACAGCTGTCAGTTGCAGACTATAAATTCCTCTTTCATGACGTTCTGCTGGAATTTAGAATGCATTTAAGTTTATTATTGATCACTGGCCTGTGACATCACATACTGCAGAAGACATGTGGGCAACAGGGGCATGACAGCTTTACAACCTCACCAGTTATAGGCATGAAAAACTCCCAAAAAAGTGATACAGTTACTCACAAGGGCTCTGGGTACTATTTTAATTAATTAGTTCTCTCTTTATTATGATTCCTTAGTGGCACCTGCCAACAATATACAAACACTTATGTACAAGATTGATTGACAGTGGCCCAGAGAGTGGCCCAGATTAATTTTTCCATCCATGACGGGAAACATCCATCTTGACAGACCACACCTTACTTCCCTCGAGGTGACAAAGTAGGTGCTTTTATGCTCCATCTCTCTGACAGAGTAAACCTGAGTTTAAAGCCTTCTGCCATTATTATCTACCCCACTGGACACATAAATCCCAAGCAATAAAGCATCTGGGCTAATCTCATTGCTGCTGTAAATTGGCTGATTAGATTGCTCCTGCCCTGTGTTCCCAGATCTCTTGATCCTCATAGAAAAAAAAAGAAAAAAAAACAAACCCAAACACAACACTTGAGTTGGCATGCAGAATCTGAGGATTAGCTTCCTAAAGCAAGCCCATTCTGTGTTTAGGTGCCATCAACTCCTGCTTGTTGGGCATTCACCCCAGTCCTAGCTGAGTGTCTCTATCACCTGATAATCAATGTCAGGACTCAACAAGGGCCACACAAAACACAATATTGTTCTTCCTCCAGGAGGGCTGTGAGGGTGACAGTGCTATGACCTCCTTGGTGCCATGGTCACCCTTCTCAGGAAGCAAGAAATGATGCCTCAGGTTTAGCTTTTCTATTTTTCACATTCTGAGCTGCTTTAGTGTGTGGGTCTGGGTTCAGTCCATTCTGCTGACTGCTCCCCAAACAGAATTTATTTATTTTACCTTGGTAGGGCTGGATTTTCCCCACACACCACTCTCCCGCTGAAGGCCTGTGCATGTCCTCTGACCATCAGGGCCCCAGCGCTTTTGTGTCACCCCTGGGGAAAAACACAGAGAAAGGAACGTTATCATCAGTGTTCTGGAGGAGATGAGTTAGAAAACCTGCTTTTAAATGGAGTGCAGCAGGAGGGAAGGAGTCCTGGAAATGATCGGACTGCTCTGGGATCTGTTTCTCCCCTCCACAGAAGAGGCTCTGGAAACACCCTGGGATCCTATTGCTGGGACTTGGACAGTCCTACAAGGTGTCCAGGGCTGATCCAAAGCTCCACTATCTCTGCTTTTGATTTCCATGGCTTTGGGCACGACTGTGGAGGGACTGGGGAAGCTGGGAAATGTGGATTTCTATTATTATCGCTGCATTAATGAAGGGATGTTTTCCCACAGATTTCAACCAACACCCTCTTGGTGCCCTCTGCAGAACGGGGAGCACAGACAGCCCAGCAACGAGCTGGATTTCACTGGCACTGAGTCACCTCCACATTTAAAGAGCTGCAGTGATTCCAAACCACATCCACAAATTCTATTACATCACAACATTCCCAGTTTAGTGATAACTATTCCACCAGCACCCCAACCTCTGCTTTTGTCACGGGCTGTTTTCTGCGAGCCGTATTCCCTCTCTGCAGCTTTTTACATGGAGCTAATTTCCATTTAACACAGTCTGGGCTATTGCACTGATGCATTACGTCTGCTGTCAACTGTTTTGCCAGAAATTACGTTACTTTCTAGTTTGTATTAAGCATCCAAAATTAATTTTCAGAAATTCTCCATTTGGACTGAAATCTCTTGACGTTCCTGGCTGTTGTTTTACAGCAACACCATTGGTAAGACCTTTTGTATTATTTTTCTTCCACCCAGGCAGGTTGCCACAGGAGAAAATTTTTTACTAAGCAGAATTTCAGTTTATGTGTTACATTATATTAACAAAGGAATGTAAATCAGCTCCATTTTAGGAACTGTTTATTAAACCATGCCCACCACAACAGAATTCATCTCCTTGGGTGTAGGGCAAGAGGAGGAAGATATCAGTTCTATCCCTCAAGACATATTTAGTCCCACCACAACATTTAGAGGGTGTTTGATGAGCTTTTTGTTTTAATAAGGTACACTAAAATATACTTTAACACTTCCCTAACATAACTCCAAGATGCCAATGCCACCATGTACATTCATAGCTGGCATGAAGGAAGAGGTTTGTTTTTGTCATTGAGCAAGAGAGTCCAGAGCCACAGAGCAAACAGCTGGACTTATTAGCCACAGTGTGGGAAAAACCAGAATCCAGCAAACAGCCAGGGTAGAGGACTCACTCCATGGTTTTTGGCAAAGGAATAATGCTGGGTTGCCATCAGTGCAAAGGCAGGGAACCTGGTCTAGCACTGCAAACTGCTGGCACCAAGCACGGGTGAGATGCCTTGGAGCCAGCTCCTCACCCTGCCATGGTGCACAGTGAAGAGGACAGGATCCAAGGACAAAATCCTCCTCTGCTGCTGGGGAAGCCTCATGGAAAGGTTATTTTCAGTGTATCAGTGCTGTGATCAATCACACGTGGGCACCTTCATGGTGAAGAGCAGCCACGTGTGCTCTTATTTATTTTTTAAAGCAACTGAATAGGGAATAACCTGCAGAGAGGAGTCAAGAAGAAATTCTTGGATTGAGTGAGACATTAATAGAAATTTGTTAAGAAACTCCTATGTAATTAAAACAACAACTTCCACTAAGTTATCAATATTTTCCTGAAATACTTTGCAGTAAAAACCCCAGAGTTGTCTCAGATCAAAGAGGAAACTACAATAGGAGATCATCAACTTCTGAATGTCAACTGGTGCACAAGGCTCATTCTTCATGAATTTCATTCAAATGCATTTCCAGCACCAGAGAAAGACTGAGGATCACAGGGTTAAAGATGAACAAGTTGTCAAAGTCCACACAGCAGATTGCACAGAGCAGGTAAATTATTCTTATCCAAGTAACCTCCCATGGTTAGCAATAATCTGTGGGTACAACCTTCCAATATCCCACAGATCCCTTGGAACAGATTGGTAAATTTATGCCTGTCTTAACTTTAAAAACAGCTGTTTCTGGAGCTGGAGAGGCAGGAAGAATCAAGGTGAGAAGAAGAAGGAGATTTATTTTCTTTGCTAAATCATCCACAGTGGAGTTTTGCATTGCCTTTTGTACCCTATCCCATGCAAGGACATTCTTATATTGCTATAGGAATCCTACAGCTGGAAAACACTCCAACTTTTGGCAACTCACTGAATGCATTTGCTGAGACAGATTAAATGGCCTTGGTGGCAAAAGCACTGGCATTTATCACAGTATAATTAAATCCATCATTGGAAGCTTCACGTTTGTTAATTCTTGTTAAGAGAACAAGCAAAAAAAAAAAAAACAACCCTAAACCTTTAAAAAGAGCTCGAATCTGTGTTTGCAATGAAGGCACTGCAGGGAGCACAAGGTTTTAGCTGAGACACGTCACACACTGAGCGTTCAAATTCTCCTGCTGACAAAACACCTCGCCCTGGAACCCTTGTTGCACAACAAAATGCAAAGTTCACTTTTTCCCTGGTGTGAAAGCATGAAAGAAATGGCATTTCAAGTACTTTCTGTCTCTGTGGGGAGCAGGAGAAACTTATTTCACTCCAAGCTGAAATCCCAAGGATTGGTTTAACCTCCCCAGACCTTCCCTTCCCACCACAATCAATTAAAAATGGGAGATGCCACGAGGAACAGAGTAGCAACTGCTGGCACATGACCTCTGTCCTGTGACATCTTCACTCTTAATTTTCTCCCCTCACAAGTCCTGTTTGTTGAACCAAATGCTGCATTCCTTGGTGAGGGAGCTGGGGGTGCTCCCCTGGAGAAAAGGAGACTCAGGGGTGCCCTCCTCACTCTGCACAGCTCCTGAAAGGTGCCTGTGCTCAGCTGGGGCTGGGCTCTGTCTGCAGCAGCACTGACACAACCAGAGCACACAGCCTCAAGGGAAATGCAGGTTGGATATCAGGAAAAAGTTTTTTACAGAAAGGGTGATAAAGCTCTGGAATGGCTGCCCAGGGAGGTGGTGGAGTCACCATCCCTGGGTGTGTTTAACAAAGCCTGGATGTGGCACTGGGTGCCAGGGTTCAGTTGCGTGTTGGGGCTGGGTTGGACTCAGTGATCTGGAAGGTCTCTTCCAACCCAGTGATTCTGTGAATTCTGTAAATTCTGTGAATTCTGTGAGGCATCTGGACATCCGGCTGCAGCCCAGGGTTTTCCTAATTACGGAGTGCAGCTGGAACCCATTCCCCCAGTCTCGAGTGCCTGGATCCTGCCTCGGGCCAACTGGCAGCTGCCTCAGATAATGGTTCAGAAAAGAAGTGCTTGTAAATCAGCTGCTGAAGCCCAGATCGATGGCAAAGGTGAGGCTGCTGCTGAGGAATCACGGCCTGGGAATGTTTGGCAGGCCCAGGACAGCCCCACACGGAGCCAGCTCAGGTTTTGTGCAAAACTTGGGACTCACACAAAAACCATGGAAAATGCTGGTTTCCCAGTGGTTCAGGTCTTTGCCAGGCTAGGGGACACTGTTTGGTGACAAACCAGGTGTGAGAAGGACACTGAGGGGCTGGAGGGTGTCCAGGGAAGGGAACAGAGCTGGGAAGGGGCTGGAGAATTCCTGAGGAGCTGGGAAGGGGCTCAGCCTGGGGAAAAGGAGGCTCAGGGGGGACCTTGTGGCTCTGCACAGCTCCTGCCAGGAGGGGACAGCCAGGGGGGTCGGGCTGTGCTCCAGGGAACAGGGACAGGAGCAGAGGGAACGGCCTCAGGCTGGGCCAGGGCAGCTCAGGGTGGATATTGGGAAAATCCCTTCATGGAAAGGTTTTCAAGAATTGGAACAGGCTTCCTGGGGAAGCAGCAGTATCACCACCCCTGGAAGCGTTCACAAATCGTGTGGATGTGGCACTTGGGGACGTGGCTTAGGGGTGACTTTGGCAGTGCAGGGGGAATGGCTGGACTCCGTGATCTTAGAAAGCTTTTCCAACTTCAAGCATTCTGTGATTGACACCCAGAGTGACACCAGGCAGAGCTGGAATGACTTTAGACCACTGGCCCTGGCCTCATCCCCAGATTTGTCAGGAAAGTTGCATATTTTAGTCACTTGCTGACAAATCTCAAATGTGTGTCAGCACTCCTGGTCTCCCTTGTTCTGCTCCAAGCCCTGCTTGCTCTGCACTGACCATGTCCCCTGTCCCCTCTGAGCCACCAGCATCACCTCACAGTGAACTCTGGAGCCTCCAGGAACCTCCAGGGCTTCCCTGAAAACAACATCAAACAGCACTGCAGAACACACACTCTGCTATGAAAAGAGGAAACCTCCACGTCACAAAAAAATTAGCTTTTTTGTTGATCTTAGCTCAACATCCATGAGACTGGTGAGGGGAGTTGGGCTCCCACCCATGTCCATGGCAGCAGGATCCCTACAGCGCTCAAAAATTCCCAAAAATTCCTCAAACTCCCCACTTAGCACCTAGGAGCTAAAGGACAGGGATGGCTTAGCTGCAGGGTCAGGTATCAGAGCGATCACTCTGCTAACACAGTGTCTCACTTAAACATTTTTTTAAGGCCTTTTCTTTTTTCTTGTATTATTCTCACTGGAGGAAGTCATTTATACTCGACTCTGTTTAAAACATTAGAACTGTTTAAATTTCCTGGTGGCTTTTTTAATTCAAATACCTGCGGAAGCCTGGAGGAAAAAGAAGTGTCGTCATTAAAGATTCATCAAGCTCCCTGCTCAGTAAGGGCTGGGAGAGATCATGGTTTGCTCCTTCAGATCTGAGGTGAGTCATCCAAAAAATCCACGCGGACGTTACATCGGAGATGAAAGCCAAGCTGGAACGAGCAGCGGAACCAAACCCATGTCTTCTGCTCTTCTTCATGTGTCATAAAGAAAGGATGTCATAAAACTGCAGAGCCTGGTGTCACCTGAAATAAAACTGAGCAGCAGGGCTAAAGTTCACATTCCCGGTATGAAAAGTAGAGACATGAATGCTGGAAGTTCCACTTT